TCATTTCAGACCTCAGTGAGAGAACCAGAACGCAGGCCTTGAGTTCTGGAGGAAGGTGATGCCATCTGCAGCAAAGAACAGCAAACCTCCTGAAATCAACTCCTGATGTGCAGCTGAGCCCTGTTATAGAATATTTAACCAAGATACAGGTAACCAGGTGTCCAGGAATTTCCATCAGAAGCTAGGCCACACTGGGCCCATCAAGTCATAAAGTCCAGTGGGACTAGTAGCAACCTCTCATAAGATGGAAATGAGATATCTGACCTTGGCAATGGGCAAGCTGCTTAGCCAAGGAGCCTAGACTCCATGTCACTTGCACCAGTACCCCCAGCCCCGACCTAGATCACATGTAAGGCACGTGTGGGTTGGGGTGGGATGCACAGGACAAACAGGCGAAGTAAGACTTGGCTCAGTGTGTAGATGGCTTGGCCCCATGGGTAGATGCCTCGGCTCGGTGTGTAGATGGCTTGGCCCTGTGTGTAGATGCCTTGGCTCGGTGGGTAGATGCCTCGGCTCGGTGTGTAGATGGCTCGGCCCCGTGGGTAGATGCCTTGGCTTGGTGGGTAGATGCCTCGGCCCGGTGGGTAGATGCCTCGGCTCGGTGTGTAGATGGCTCGGCTTGGCGTGTGTGAGCCTAAACAGATGGCGGCTCTATCACAGCCTCCAGGGTGGCTGGGAAGAGAGGGATAAGGAAATATCTTTCTAACTTGTGGAGCTTTGGGCAATTCATCTTGTCATGTATTTTGTATCAGAGGGAAAGTGTTCTGAGATTAGAACATGTACAAATGCACAAGCAGTGGTGAATCACATAGCCAGTTGGACAAGGGACATGAAGGAAAAGGCTGGGAAAATCAATGGCAAGAAAGCCTGGAGTAGACATGTGGATAGACAAGTGAGAACAGACACAAAGTGCGAGGATCTGTGCGTCATGTTAATGCCCACGAGAAAGCATTCACTGCAGAAGGCAGACTCAACAAAGAGCAGAGAAGATGACATGCTGAGGCAGTCTTCTTCGTCAATGTTGGTATCATGTGCACATGTATGAAGTGCCCACAGAGGTAGGGACACAGGTTATGATGGACTCCCACTTAGCAAGGCTGATCTAGGTATCATTGCCTCAGAATATCCAATCTGCCAATAACAGAGACCAGCTAAGCCCTCAGCTCAGCATGGAGGCCTGCAGAATGCCTGATCCATAGGCATAGAATTCCATGCAAAATAGCATCTGACTAGGGAACCTACTTTTTAGAAACGGGATGTGATTGTGGGTCATGGCTCTAGTAAGATTGACCGACTGGAGCACAAATAGCATGATGCAGAAGGTGCAGCCCCACGCTTCTCTCACTGCCCTGGAATCTCCGTTCCTGGACATCGAGCTGATGTCCACACAATGGGATGTGTGTGCAGTCTGCTGGCTTCTCATTCTTAAAAGGAGATGTTTAAAAATAACCTGATGTGATATTTCTAAAATTTTTCATATTTATTACTATCTTGGTAATAATCATTTAAACAGCAAGCTGCAAGCATCTGTTTAAATTCTTGCACGAATGCTCTAGAGCCTGCCTTCTTAAAGAATTAATATGATTTGCCTCTAAGTAACACTCATTTCTGTGTCGGCCTTCCCCATTGCAGACGCTGGGCTTGGGTACGCTGACTCCTATGGCCTAATTGTGAGGGAAGTGGCACTGGGGCTTGAGAACCACATTGATGACACTTTTAAATGTTTATTAATTAGTCAACAAAAATTTCTAGACTTCAGATCTCAATAATAAAAAATATTCTTCTCTAAAATTTAAACAAGGTCTCAGATATTTTCTGAACGCAACTTTAGTATCTACCTCTAGCCAAAGAGTCTGTAATAGCTATTTCTAAGTAGACCAACTAACAACAAAAACCCCTCACAATTAGCTTTATTCTGATGTCCTTGCCAGCACATCAGCAATCAAGTTGAAAAAAGAGGGTGCGGGGCAGACTCCACACTGCCTCATTCACCGAGCAGCACCAAGCAGTTCCTCCAGCGGGATTTCACCTCGGCCAGGAGCAGCTGATTGCTGCAGACAATAAGTGGAGAGATTTAGGGCTATTAATCTATCTCTTTTCAAGGGCACTCAGCTGAAACAAGTGCTCACACATGTTAAGGATAAGTAATACATATACCACCCCCTGCAGAGGTGAAACCTCACTAATGATTAAAAATTAGTTCCCAGCAGAAAGACGGCTCACAAGATGATGACATGCACGGCCATGCACGTCTGCGACGCGTTGAATGCAAGTGCCGGGGTTCGCGTGCCTGATGGGAAAGAGCACTGTCTCGGGTGCACTAACCAGGAGTAACGTACAAGCCCAAGATCAATAGTCTGTGACTTTGCACAGATGTGACAAGTCACAAAACCAGAAAAGAAGTTCTTCTTATATAACTCTGATGGAGAATTATTTGGCAATATCTACCAAAATTACAAAACACTTTCACCTTTTGATACAGCAATCCCACTTCTGGGAATGTATTCTAGGGATGTATTTGAAACGTGTAAAAGAACATATGCTACTGAGGCAGATGAGAGAGAGAGGGAGGGAGGGAGAGAGAGAGGGAG